AGGGGAGCTTCTGATATTTGGCTTGGTGCATTGAAATCTGGTTCCCTTCCATGGTGAAAGCTTTGGCTTGATTCTGTGCCCACTGAGTGAGACATTTAGCTGTCTCTGAACTGAGAACTTGTGTGAACAATGACTCTTTCCCCAGCACTTGGCCTCTGCATATTGGTGCAGGTTGGCCAGGGTCTCCCCTCCACAGCTGGAGGTGTCAGGTCTCCTTTCCTTCTGGGTGGCAGTAGTTAACATCTTTGCCTGAATAGCGTGGCCCTGTTGCATAGTTGAGTCTCTGCAGTGCAAAGATACAAACCTGCCATTTGGATACAGGTGTTTCAATTCTATGATGTTTTGTACCTGCCCTTGTGGCATTTAGAGAGCTCTAAAGGTTGTATTATAAAGTTGAGACCTGCCTGTTCCTGAAGTTCTGACAGAAAAAAATGTTCTTCCTTTCCTCTGCTGACATCTCCAGTGCATCTTGCATATCTTGTTTTCCACTTGTACCTTCAGGTTCAGAGGATGGGAAGATTCATGTTTGGAATGGAGAAAGTGGGATGAAGGTGGCTGTCCTAGATGGAAAACACACAGGTCCTATAACCTGTCTGCAGTTCAATCCAAAATTCATGACTTTTGCTAGTGCATGTTCCAATATGGTAAGGAAATGGGCTTTAACTTCCTCTGAGCTCCATGAGGTGCTGACCCTTCCGGAGATGAATCTGAGAAGGCTCAGTGCCTCTCATGTGTGCTTGCAGAAGGTGGCAGCTCCTACAGGATGCTGTAGGAGAGATTTGTGTTCTGCTATGAATATGTTTTCTTTCCTCCTCTCTAGGCCTTCTGGTTGCCAACTATTGACGACTAATTCCTGCGCTGTGGCCGCTGTGGGATGGCTCCATGCTGCTAACAGCAGCACAGCATTACAAGCATAGTTCTGGAATTGCCTCCATCTCCTAGACTGTGTTCCTGTTCCTGCGTATTTTCCATGTCTTACCTTTATCTACAGCATTCCGTTGGGAGGACTGCTCCTCTTGCCTCCTGGCACGCTCCAGAAGCAGTATGCTACAAGTTCCTACCTTCCATGCCCAGCAGGCTTTAGCCTAAGATGGAACTGACACAGTGTCATTTCTTAGAGCCCTGAAGTCTGTTTTATCTACAAAATGTTTGTGGCATTTTTTAAAGCTGTAATTATGTGTTTTCCTGCTGTAAATGCACAAGGCTATTGATGTTCCAATGTGGAGCGTGCAGTTCCTTTCCATAAGTGCATGTTTTTAACATCTGGGATCTCTGGTTTCACTGCAGTCCACAGATGCAAATACTTCTGTGCCAAATGTGAACACTGACAGTTTTCAACGGCAGATGCTGGATTCTCTTGCAGTGGAACATGCACCAGAAGTGTGGGTAGCTGTGAATGTACCTCATACATCTTGTCATCCTTTTTTTTGGCAATTTAGCGTGCAACTGCACAGGTTTCATCCACTGTCAGAGATTGCCAAAGCAACCCTGCTGTTTGCTGTGTCAACATCCTGGAGGTGCAGACAGCACTGCTGAGGTCCAGCCAGTGTCCCGAGCAATAAAGGAGTCTGTCAGCGGAAGATGGAGAAACCACACTGAGACTGAAAGCACAGTCTGCCTGTGTATCTTCCTTATGTACCATCTTGGCTGATCTTACTTGTAAATATCATTGGGTGGGTGGGCAGTGGGAATGGGCCATATTTTTTTACTTTTAGATATAAAAGAATATGATGTGGGCCAGTAATGTGAGGTGTCTAGGCTGTTTACTTTCACCGATGCAGTTTTCCGCCCCTGCTTTGTAAATAAGCTCCATGAAATGCATCCCACAGCAGGCTTAGACTGGTATCCCTTTGTTGGTAAAACTGATGTGGGTAGTCCATCACACAGTTTGGCACTGGTCTGCAGGTTTTTGGTGATAGCTCCAAAAGATCAGTGCATCCTTTGTCAGATGGTGTCTTCAGAGATGAATTTTAAAAATCTTAGGCATGACTGTGCTGACTCTGCTGTGGCCCTGCTCCAAGGAATGCCCCTGCAAAGTGATGGGGAGGGACATGCTCTCCTGCCTCAGGGGCTTGTAGCACTGAAAAGCTGGCTGGCTGGTCTTCAAGCCCAGTTCCAGGGTTTTTTTCCTGAAATGCTGCTTCAATGGAATGCATTCACCAGCAAGCTGGGACAGGCCTGGCAAAAATGTAGTGTTCACTATATTCTTGCCTTTCCAAACACACTTGGGGTTGTGCTTGGGAAGTCTGTTCTTTCCCTTGCCCAGTCACATGTGCTTCCCTGCTCATAAATATGAAAAGCTGGCAGGGTGACAAGGCAGTAACAGGCGTGTTCTCTCTGCTCTCCAGGGCCACTCCATGCTGGCAAACCATGCTGGAGCGTTTTCCTTAGGTCAGTTTCCTGATGTTCCTCTGTTACAGCAAAGTTCATCTCAGCTGTATACGGTTCACATCGTGAGTCCCTGGAAAAGTAAATGCCTTGTAGAACAGCTGTTTCTGTTTTGCTGTTTCTTGCCTTTGTTTTTTCCCCTCCCAGTCCTTGCCCAGGGAAAGGTGCTGTGCTAAGAGCTGGGGACAGGCACTGAGCATTTCTGTGCTGCTGGTTCGGTTCAGGTTGCAGCACTTGGCCGTGGCAGTGCAGGAGCCCTGCCCACAAGGGGCAGGCTCACACCGAGGTGCTCTGTCTGTGCTGCGGTTGTGGCTCTGCTGCTGCCGCTGCCACACGGGGCATTTCTAACCACAGGTCTGCAGTGGGAGTTGGCCATCCTCCAGCAGGGTGATGGATGCTTTCCCTCTGCCACACAGGCCTGCTGCTGGAGATGCAGATGAGAGTTCCTGCCACCCCTCTCGTGTGCTGTCCCACCGTTGCCTATAAATAAAACTGCCCTGTGCAAAGGGAGGTGGTTTTCTCGGGCCTCAGTCACTTTAACTCAGCAGTGTTGCATTTCAGGGTGTTAGGTGCTATTTTACCTTCGTTGGTATTTGCAGTGCTTTGTAAAATACAGATATTTGGGGTTTCTAGTGTGTTTTAACAGTCAAACTTCAGCGTCCAGTAGTAAATTATCTTTGAGGTTTTTCAAGTCTTTTGCCTGAGGAAGTGAACAGATAGCCTCTGGCCATATCCTGTGTTACTTTTGACAGGGAAGCATTTGAAAGTCTTTTATTCTATAAAAGCTCTTTGTTAATGTGGTTTTGAGCGCTTGTCTAGAGGTTGTTGTTCAGCTCTCTTCTGCTTGCAGTGTTGTAAAACATGGTGTGTTGTGGCATGGAATGTTGAAGGAAAAGGGAACCAGAGGAGTGGTTTAGGAGGATGCACACACAAGCACATCAGTGGCTTTCTGGAGTGAAGAGGGATGTTCAGGCTCATGCAGTAGTTCTCTATTCAGGGTGGCAGCTGAGCCCACTGCCACCCATGGAGACAGAGACATCCCTGTTGATGTAGCATGGAGTGCTTTCCATCTGGCTTTAAAAGAGGGGAGTGTGCCAAGTGTTGTCAGGGAACATGAGGATTGTGTGTTTCAGACAGTTGGACAGGAAAGGTGAATAAGCTTTTAGCATTCAGCTTCTTCGTGCTTCTCTAGGAGTCCCAGGGCTGCAGTTCCTGTGTTCTTTAGGGCTGCCAGCTAATGAGAAACAGATCTGATGAAAAACAGCCTTCCCAGGTCTGACAGAGTGGCCAAGCAGCAAACAGCATTCCCCCTCCAAATCTGACATGTAAATCCTCCCCTTGTTCTTTGGGATGAATTAAAGACCTCTCTTCAGAACAAGGGGGAAATGAGACTCAAGAGCCCCCCTCAAAGTAAGCAGTGGTGGCTGAGCACATCTGCCTGGGCTGTAGGAGATTTCAGGTGTAATTCTCCAAGTCAGTCTTGAAAGATTCTTATTCCTTTATTGAATCTCCCAGGTCCTGGATTTGTGCCCCCATCCCTTTGTGCTTTGGAGGGTGCAGGAGCAATTGAGTGACAAATTTGGAAGCAGCAGGGTATCTTTTTCCAATGCCTCTTGGCTATTTTAGCACTTTAAGAGACTTCACCTTGGTTTTGGGTCAGGGGCAGGAATCTGGTGAGCCTTTCACAAACTGGTCTCTGTGGTCGTGAGCTGCTCTAGGGAGTTGGACTCCTCGGTGGTATCTGCCAGTGAGTGTAAATACATAAACTCAAATTATGCTTTGTCACAAAATACTACCTATGTGGAGAATTCAATGTTGTGGCTGTGACCAATAAATATTTTGTAGAGAGACCACTTGAGTGCTCTAAATTCTGCGTTTGTCCAGTGTGATACAACTTGCTGGTTTCTTAGCGGGGGAATGTTAAACTCATCCATTTTTTAAAATCTCCCTTTATTTTGCAGAGTCAGCAATTCTGTATTGGAAATTGTGATTGTTTGAAGGTACCCCTCCATAAATTGCCCATTTTAAGAGGGTTTTTTTGCCTATGAATGTATCAGGATAGGGAAGCCTTGTGACAGCTACTTATGGAGCTATGGTGCCCTAGGTAAAGAGGTGTTCACAGCAGCTTGTGGTCTGAGCTCTTTCAGACTGCTGAGAAGAGCTGAGCTCTTTCTCAGCAAGGTGAGAAAATAACTGTCTGAATTTGGGTGACAGGAATCTTGGGTAATTACAGTTAATGCATATAAATGTGTTACAGCTACTGAAGGGAGAACAGCAGCCAGTATCATTACCATGGGTGAATCCTCATGTGCATTGTTTTCAGGTCAAAGTTAAGAGGATGGAAGCAGAAAAATGTTTTTTATTCTACGCCTTGCCTAAACTATAAGCAGGTAACTAAGAAGGCTGCCCCATTCCTGGGGGGAATTTCCTCCCACTGCTGCAAATAATCTTTCAACACCAAGCCTTTGTAGCAGTTCTGGTAAGGGGATGCTTCTGGTGACCAGCAAAGACAAATTAAAAGCACAAATTCCCCTATGATTTTCTGAGGCTGTTTTCCTCCAGCCCAGATCTATGTAAAACCCCTGGCAGGAATAACACCACAGTAAGATGCATGGGGAAAAAAACAAAGTACTTTTATTTGGACTTTCATCCTTGCAGAACTTAAACACACACTGGGGTTTGGCTGCTTCTCTGGGAATCCTGGAACCTGTGTACTGAATAATGAAAACCAAAGTGGGGACTTGGGGAGATGGGAACCTTGTCCAGACCTGAATTTGCCTGGTTAACAAACAGGTTGGGAAGCAGATCCTCAGAGTTTGAGACAACTCTGGCATGTCTGCTGCACTGTGTTTCTGCTGGAGTAAGTGCTTGAAATTCAGCACTGCAGATAAATTGCAACAAACCGGTTTTATTTTACTTGGAGCTCTTCTACTGAATCAGCTGATGCACTGAACACCTTGGTTCTCATCAGTGCTGCTGCTACAAAACCTGCTTTGCTATCAGAAATGACCTGAATAGAGAAAGTGTCAGCAAGTGTGGATTAAGGTTTGTTAGCAATCTAACACGCTTCAGTGTCCTTCAATAAGAGTAAGGCACATATCTTTGCACAGGAAGCTTCTGTACACCAGGGTGAAGCTTCACCTGGCTACATCCTCTGGGTTTGAGGTGCTGCCTACAAATGGCAACTGTCTCAAGAGCTCTGGGCTACTGCTCCAGCATTCCCATGCCACAGGCACAGCTGTGCCCAATGCTGTCTTGGCAGCAGCTCCCAGGTTTTCAGCACATCTCACATTACAGCAAATGGATACGAGAGATGCTTTAGCTTATGCATCCAGTTCAGCTTAGTTCAAGTCTGATTAAAAGCCAGCTCTTCAGACTGGCTGGATCTCAATTGATCCTTATTGTTCAATATTAAAAAAAGGGAGAGAGATCAGTAGAAATATGGATTTGAGTGTCACTGTACCGCAAAGATCTTAGGAAAAGTGTCCTTTGGTGTGCATGGCCCCCTTTGCAGGTTCTCCTTGGTCCAGCAATGAGAAAGGGGAGTGATTTGTTGCCCACTGTGCTTCTCTTGCATGTTGTTAAGGAGCTAATCTTGTTCATCCTGTCCAAGTGCTGGCTGTGCATTTCAGGTCCCAATGCAAATGGTTTTGCTGGAAGAGCAGCAGAAGTCCCTCATTCTCAGGCTGATGCAGAATGGCACCAGAGTAAGGGAACACAGAGATGCTGTGTGTCATCCTGACAGTCAGTCCTCTTCCCTGTTGTGTAGTGGGATGACAAATACAGAGATGTCATCATAGGATGCCTCGTGGCTGTCATCCAGCATCCACTGGTGGCCTCTCTTCTTTCCCCTTGCCCTGCATACCAAGCACTTGGCCAGTTCTGAAAACCTGTGGGTAGAAAAATGCAAGGGCTAATACAGCAACTATTCCCCTTAAGTACAGCATTGAGATGTGGCTTTTTTTAACAAGGTTTTTTAAGATATCGGCTTTGTAATTGTTACTTTAGGATGGGAACAGATTAGTAGGCAGTTTCCAAAGTCACAGAAAAGAGTGGTCATGCCAGAGCTGACCTGGAAGCAGTGGGATCTCCGCCTGCTTTAGGTCTGACCAGGTTCTTTGGAAGGGAAAACAAAGGCAAAGCTGGTATTACCTTTGAGGATCTGTCCTGTTTTCTGCAAGGAAGCTCCTGGCCACATGGGCCACCTCATCGTTGCACAGAACATCCCAAAGGCCGTCAGTTGCCATGATGAGGACATCGTCTTCCTTAATGTCATGCAGAGCAAAGTCAAATACATTCACCTGGAAAGCAGAGCAGTAAATCTGTGACAATTCCTGCAATGTAACAGAGGGGTCAGGGAGATGAGACTGCCCCTGAGAGATGACACACTGGGACCAGGGTGCTTGGAGAAATGCTAAGACCTGCCAAGTCTTTAAAAGGTGCATCCGTCAGAGGAGCAGCTTGTTTAATTCCACCCTGCAATTCCCACGTGCTGTGACTGACCTTAGGAATGCAGGAGAGGAAGGGTTTGACTTCAATGTTGGTGTCAATGACCTTGAGCTGATGATCCCCCAGGCCTCGAGAGACAGCCAGAGTGCCCAGCAGGCGAGCCTGGCCCCAAACAAAGCAAAACAGGATTGAAATGTCAGGGTGTGGGGCCTTTCAAGGCTGGTGTGTGGCTTGTCCTGACTGATCTATGTGTTGCTTTAGGACCTTCCTCCAACCATCAACCAGAACAGCCTCTGGAGACTTTGGAGATGGAGGAGTGATCAGAAGCAATGCCCTGATGGGAGTGTGGAAGCAGCCTGACTGTGAATGGCTCCATGTGGCCCAGGGTGTGCTCTGGAGTTAGTACATGTGCTCTGGGTAATGCTGCAGACCTCAGGAGGCCCATGGTGGCATCTGCTCTTGGTTTGACGTGGCAAGAAAGACAGTTGGGCTGGTTTGGGGGTGTCTGTTTGTCCTGACAAAGGACGTTCTGCACTGTCTCGGTAAAGGAGGTGGCACGTGGGTTGTAGTGCTGGGAGAGGTGATGGGACTTTCTGCAGGCAGATGCTGGATGGGTGCAGTCACTGCTTCTCCCTACCCCCTCCCTCCCTCCCCAGGCTCATTGCTCAGCCTCTCCTTGAGGAGGACAGTTTGTGGGAAAGGCACTAGAGCTAAAGGAGACAGTCCCAAGTGGGAATTGATGAAGTTCTCATCTGAATGGAGTTCTGTGTGCAAGCCCTCAGGGCTGCTCTCTGCTCTGCTGTACTCTAGAGGAGGGAGCTCCAGAGGGCTCTGGGTTACACCAGCCAGGCAGCAAAGGAGGCTGCTGTATCCAGGCTGTGGGACTGTGCTGTGCTGGAGAACAGAGCTCCAGGTTTGCTCTAGTGCCCCAGAGTGTGACATGAGTGACAGGGACACTGAGGACCCCCAGAAGACTTGCCTGTGCCTTCCCAGTGTGTAAAGCATTAAGCTACCTGCTTCCCATGACCATGGACAAGAGGATACTTGAGGTCAGCCTTCTCCACCGTCTTGTATCCCCTGGAACAGAGAATTCACTGTTGATTTGGTATTTGTCTGACATCATAGTACAACCCAGCCAGAGCATTTTGACTCTGATTGACCCTTGTGGTGTCCCCATGCACAGGCAGCTCACTGAGGATGGGGCAAGGTGATCCTCACTCTCCCCTTCCTCCCCAGCTTGTACCTGCACCAGCCTGGAACTGCCTGCACCAGCCCCATGCCCATGGATGCCAGAAGGACCATTCTGACTGCTTTCTAACCACCCTGCCAGGGTCCTGGTCCTTTGGAGGGAGCTGCTCACAGCATCCTCCCCTACCATCGTGCTGCTGCTCTCACTGGCAGGATGTGCCCCTTGTCCCCTCACTTCCCCATGGGTGTGAGCAGGTAAAGCTGCCCTGTGCTGCAGCCCTGCAGGGCAGAAGGGACTCACCAGCCCTCCATGAAGTAATCCCGGTACAGGACTTTGTGGCCCACATCATCTCCCTTCAGCCTCCGTGGAAACTCAAAGCGGGTGAATTCACCATCCAGGAGCTTGGGGAAAAGGAAAGCCTGGAGGAGGGAATGGAGGGCTGAGCATGGACAGGTTCTGCTTCAGTGGAGTAGGGCAGCAGAGCTGCTTCTGCCTCAGGACTGGCACTCCCAGCAGCAGAAGGAGACCAGAATTGGGAAGCACATTCCAACGAGGACATGAACATCTCCCATACCAAAGACTGTTGGCTGAATTTCTACCCCAGCCCTCCCTGGCTAGTTCCAGCTGACATTATGGCCACACAGTGGCCTTCAAGGAAAGCTGGAGGTCCTCTGGCCACAAGCCCTCTCTGGCCCAGTGGGATGCTTCAGCTGGATTGTCTGATGTGTGGAAGGAGTCACTCACCAAGTGCTGGATTCGCTGCCTCTCTGACTCGGGGGTGAACTCGCTGCTCATGGGCACAATGCTGTCCTTCAGGACAAGAATTGCCCTACAAGGGGGAAGAGGCAAAGCTCAGCTGTGCCAGACAATAGCTGTGCACCCAAAACTGTTAAAAAATGCCACTGTATTTCAAATAACTCCATTGTAATTGCACTGTTGCAGCAGAGAACTGCGCTTGCCTGGTTTGACAGTGGTCGAGCTCACTGTTAGAGGAATGGGGAGGCCACAGCCAAGAGAGGGAAATCAGCCTTCACTTTGAAACACCTGCCAGGCTGAGTGGGCTGCTGCATTACCACCCCAAGGCTGTGTCTGGGCAGCTTTAGTCCCTTGAAATCCCAAACTGTTTCAGAAGGCATGAGAGCACCTTTCTTCTAACAGGTCCCGTGCCAGGCAGGAGGGGGATGGCTGGGCTGCACATGTACTGTCTGTAGGATTAAATCAGAGCTGTGCTTTAACCTGGCAGCTAAAGACCACACAGCCACTCACTCACTCCCCCACACCCAGTGGGATGGGGCAGGTAACTGGGAAAAAGGAAAGTAAAATCTGTGAGTTGAGAGAAGGAAAGTTTATTAGGACAGGAACGGAGGGAAAATCATGAGAAAATAATTAGAATATAGAAAACAACAGTTACACAGTGCAGTTGCTCACCACCTTCTGACTGATGCCCAGCCACTTCCCCAGCAGTGGCCCCAGGCCACCTTTCCCCTCAGTTCACACACTGAGCATGGTGCTGTATGGTCTGGAACATTCCTTGGGGTCAGCTGTCCTAGCTGTGTCCCCTCCCAGCTTCTTGTGCCCCCAAACCTCCTTGCTGGTGGGGTGAGAAGCTGAAAAGTGCCTGACTCTGAGCAGGTGCTGAGCAGTGCTTGCACAACTCAAACATCACTGGGTTTTCAACGGTGTTCTCTAGAACTCTGTCCCAGCTGAAACCAGGACAGAAAGATGCTGGAAACCTTGCTTAACTCCCAGCTCGCACCCCCAGCAACTTCCCCCTTTTATTATGACTCACCTGCTGTCCCCAGCATTGGCCACATACAGCTTTCCCTGGAAATAAAGTGCAGCCAGAGCAGTGCAACCTCCTGTCTGGTTTGTAGCTTCCATCTCCTGGCCAATGACTTCATCCTGTTGGTTTCAACAAGTTTGGAGACTGGTGTGATCTGGGCTGCTGCTTTCTACACAGTCTCATCCCTCCCAGCAGAAATCCAGAACCAAAACTGACTGTGGATGGAAGCCAGCAAAGTAACAGGCAATGTTGCTTCTGTACAGCCTACACAGCTGCTGCTCCTGGATTATGGATGCTTTAGGAGGGTGATGGGGAGAGCTCAGCCTTGTGCTGCATGAGTGTGACAACAGCCATCTGCCTGCCCTACAGAATTGCTCAGAGCTGCTGCAGCTTTGCTCTTGGTCAGCACTGCCCACACACAACTCTGACACAGGCCCTGGGCTCTGACCCAGTGTGATCTCAGCACCTTTAAAGGTTTGGCCCAATGTTGCAGCCTACTCAGCAGAATTGCAGACCCTGCCCTTGCAGGGCTCAGGGAGGGTCAGGCTGTGGCCAGCAGGACTGGTGCCCTGCATGGGTACTCACACATTCCTGGAAGGCATTCTCCAGGGCTCCCACCACCAGGTCTGCTGCATGGATGTGCTTCTCCTCCACGAACTGGGGGTCACTGTCACAAACACAGCGCCCGCTGAGGTGCATGGGGGGCTGGGCCTCGGTGATGCCTCCCACAACCTCCTCCAGCTTCTGCTTGATGCAGTAGTGCAGATAGTTGGAGGCAATGATGGCAGCATCTGGGCCACCATGGCCATCAAACAGCGCCCAGTAGTGACCAGTCAGGAACTGCCGTGAGGAACAGAGACAAGACAGGGGCTGAAGGGGTTGTACAGATGGCAGGCTCAGAGCCAGGATGCCACTGCATGTGTTTTGTCTGACTTTTCCACCCCAGCTTCCCTTTCCTGCCACTGGTAAATCTCCTCAAACTCAAGTGATGCCCACATGTTGCTCTGCCCACCGCATCATCTCAGATCTGAGCATCTGGATTTGCACCACACCCCTCACATGCTGTATTAGGGGAGATGGGGCCATTTCACCAGAAGTGCAGCAGAGCCTGGTGAGAGCATCCTGTGTGCCCAGCTCATGCTGCTGCCCAAGACACACTGGCCCTTGAAAGCACAGGGAGGACAGGAAAGGTGAGGGCACCAAGGGCTTGATGACCTCAAATGCTGCAATTCATGGCTCATGGAAGCAGAAATGGCATTTACAGACAAAGCTATGTATTTGCCAGCCAGAGGGTACACAGATCTCCTAAATACACCCAAGGAAGGGTTTCAGCACGTTGTCATGTAGGACTGATGGAGCAATCCCGTGTTTCCTGAACCTGCACCCTTGGGTGGCAGCAAGAGGCTGGCAGCAGGGTGAGCACAGCCTGCCTGGGGGCAATACCTGTGTGGAGCACAGGATCAGCCATTCCTCATCCTCCTCCAGGCCTGGCTCTCTCCTCCGGACAGAGATCTGACAGCAGGCTGCCTGGTCCTCATTGAACTCCGACTTCTCGGCATTGATAACCCTGCAAACACTCCAGGTAAGGCGTGGGGACACACTGCACCTCTGCTGCCCCCAGCCAGCTGTGCTGGCTGCTCTGCAGCCCCTGCAAACAGCTGCACCTTGCCCCTCCTTTCCAGCCCCACGCTCCCTTTTCAAACTCAAGAATCTCTGTGCTGATGACGAAATAGTGAGTCATTTATGTGCAGCAGGGGAAAGCCCAGCTGGGGACACAGAGACCTGCACCCTGGCCTCAGGCAGCCCTCGTCAGCAGCCCACACCGTGCCATTTCCTTGTTGACACAGTGCATTGCAGAACCACCACCCTTGCTTTTCCTTCCAGCCTCGGTAATGTTTGTCCCTGGATGGGAGCGGGCTCTCCTTGCATTTCACGCTGTGCCATCCCAGCACCGTGGGGTCATGACGAGATCTGGCCAGGACGTGGGGACAGCTCCTGCCTGATCCATCCCTCTGCCATTTAAAACAGCAAACCAAGAAATTTCTAAAATCGTGGTCATCCCCTTCCTTCGTTTTAAAGACACTTTGCCAAGAGCGGTGCTGCTCTCGGGGCTGCCCCGGCCGCTTGTCCCAGCGCTGGAGCCGGCACTGGCTGGCAGGGGCGGCCAGGGCTGTCCCCGTCGGCCCCGGCAGGGACGGAGAGGGGCCGGAGGATTCACCGCCACGCCAACCCTGCTCCGGGGCACAAAGCCGCTCTCTCCTGGCCCGCAGATGCTGCAGGAGGGCGAGCAGTGCCTGCGGGCGGCCCCTCCGGCCCGGGGCGGCTGCAGCCGAGGGCGCAGCCAGGGCAGATGGGGAGCGACCGCCCCGGGCACCCCGCCGGGAGCCCCCCAAGCCTCCGCCCCCTCCACACCCCTAAACCTGCACCATTCCCCGGTACCGGCCCCGGCAGCGCCCCTCGCCCGCCCGGAGCCCCTCCCGGAGCGGCGCCGCTGCCGGCTGCACTCACTCGGCGTATCCCGCGCCCCAGGGCAGCGGCCGCTCGGGCGCGGCGCCGCGCACGGCCCGCCCGCCCCGCGGGGCCTCCTCGCCGCCGCCGGGCACGAACTTGGGCCGGCGGTAGTGCAGGGCGGGGGGCGGCGGGCCCGGGCCCGGTGCCGGGGCTCCGCCGGGGCGCTCCGCGGGGCCGCCCCGCCGCCAGCGCCGCAGCCACTCGCCCGACATGGCGGGGCAGGTGCGGCTCCTCCCGGCCCGGCCGCGGTCCCGCCCCGGGGCGGCGCGGAGCGGAGCGGCCCCGCGCTCCGGAACGGGCGGTGCTGCCTGCCCAGCCGTTTCCTGCCCGGGACGCGGCGGAGCCGAGCGGAGCGGAGCCGAGCGGAGCCATGACTCACCAGACCGGCATCCACGGTGAGCGGCGCCCCCGCCGAGCGCTCGGGTCCCCCCGGCCCATCCCGGGGGCTGCCCCCGCCGCTCGGCCCCCGCCCCGGGCCGGGCTGCCCCGCCGCGCCCCCGGCATCGGCACCCCCGGGGCCGCGCCCCGCGCATCCCCGGCCCCGCCGCGGCGGACTGCGGGCGCTGTCGCGACAGCGGCGGCGATGGGGGCGATGAGATGAGGATTCGGGTCCATCGATTCTTCGGTTGAACCCCCGCAGGCGGGTTTCCTGCGGTTAGCGGGGGAGGGGGGACACTGAGTCAGGCTCGGAGGGAGCGTTTGGGTGCCGGCAGGAGGTGCGGGAGGGGGCTCACCCCGGGGTGCCGCCGGTGCGGGGCTCTCCCGCATCCTTTGTCTGGGCTGATGCTCAGCACCCGCCGCGACGTGCTCGGACAGATGTGTCACGCTCGTCTGCCTGGCCGCAGCCCCGGCCACCGCTCCCTTGCCCACGGGGATGCTCGGCCCCAGCTGCTCCCTAGCCCGGGGGAGCTGCGGAAAGCCCGAGTGAATTCCTGCTTCCCGATTTCTCCGCCCGCTCCCCACAGGACCCAGCCAGCACCCCGACACAACGGCTTCTGCATTTCTGAGTGTGCTTGGTGCATGACTGACTGTGTGTCCTCACGGTATTTCCCTCCTGCCCCTCGCCTCGCCAGCTCAATTAGCAATATTAATCAGGAGTAGAGGTGCTGCATAATTTATGTAAGCGAATCAATATGCGAGCAGGGATGTGAGAGCAGCTGCCCCTGGAGCCCTGCTCTGTGCGGTCGGGTGTGAATCCAGCCCGCAGCGTGTCTCGGGAGGGAGCTGGGACAGTGGCCTCGCAGCTCCCTCTGGCCAGCACCTTTCTGCAGGGTGGGGATTTGTGTCTGCTGGTCCTTCGTGGCAAGAGCATCCTTGTTCCTCCAGAACATCCTTCCCCTCCAGTTGCTTCTGGAGGGGCTGTAGCTGAGAAGTGGCCAGTGATGATGCTTAGATGTTCCTCATGCTTGTGCTCGGGAGAGCTGGTGGTTGTTGATGTGTTTGGGTTCTGGTTCATTGCTTCTGGCTTAAACTGAGATCCTGAAGCACATGCTCTAATTAAATCTTCCTTATTTTGTAAAAATACAACAATAATTTAAAAAGTTCAAAATCAGCAGGATGGAGCCCTGCACCCCCCTGAGCTCTGGGTGTGCTGGCCCCATCTGCAGAGCTGTCCATGGGGTGTGGGCAGGCAGGGCCTGTTGCACTGTGTGCCCCTGGAGGCTGCTGCCTGTTGCTCTCTGGCCGTGCCCGGCTGCTCCTGTGCTGCTGGTGCTGTCCTTCCTGGCACCCTGCAGCTGCCAGGGAGGGAGATGTGCCAGCTGGGCTCTCTCTGAGAGCACTGACCTTGGCTGACCTTGGTTGCCCACTGCTTGGCAAGCTGTGCCCAGTGCTGGGAGTCACGGCTGCCCGTGGGACGTGACGTGCCCTGTCAGCGGGAAAGGGGAAGGGACGCCACTTCCCCCAAGGAGCTGCAGTGCAGGGAGGGGATGGACATGATGACTGCTCTGGCAGCAGATTCCTGGGCTGGGGTGGAGTAAAATCCCCCCTGTGGTTATGGAAAAGAGCTTGTGTTGGGTGGTCTCTGTCACAGCATCCTGGACATCTCTGGGCTCTCTCTGCGTGCCCTGTTGCACTGTCTCTCTTCCGGGAAGCTGCTGTTTCCTCTCTGAATGCAAATCTGCCCCTCCAACACCTGTGATGCACAACTGGGGTGCCCCAGGCTTTAAGGGAACCCCCCCTTCGAGGTGGGTTTGGGATATTTCAGTCTGCCCCACCCCGTCATGGTGATTGAATTATTCTGTTTGCTCAGCAAAGAGCAGATTCCATGTCGAATGAGGAAGAGCAATCCCACTGCTACTTTCATCCCCTCTGCTGAGGCACTGAGGTCTCTTGTTTGTTAGGAGGAGGAATTATTCACTTCTTCCTGGTTTCTGGGGCCTCGTTATCTTTGTGTGCACCCAGCAGTTTCTTTTTCTTCATTCCCATTTCTCTCACATTTTCAGGAAGACATCTGCTCCCAGGGGAATTATGATCAGGTTCTGCAGCTGGCTTAGGGGAGGTTGCAGACAAGCTGGGAGGGATTTTGCTCGACACAGTGCTAGATCTGTGTGAGGCAGGGTGACGTGGTGGTGGGGAACCCCCGGAGCAGAGACACTCCCACGTCATCCCAGCTTTTGGGGAGAAACAGGTGAAGAGGAAGCTCTGACAGTGAGAGCTGGGGGGTCAGGGAGTGCAATCAAGCCTGAGCCTTTCATGCAGGGGCAAGAGGCTAATTATTATTTTTTTAGGTATCTCAGGCAGCTCTCTTGAAGGTGCTGGCAAGAAAACCAGGCTGCCATGGAGACTGCCAGGCTGGGGAGGCGGTTGGAAGCTCTCAAAGGGTGCTGTGGGCTTCCTGGGGCTGGAAACCTGCTTTTTAGCTACAGCTGGGAGGACTCATTGAGTGGTTTTGCAGTCCCTATTTTGCTCTGAGTAGCATTAGCATTAGATTGGAACAGCATTTGCTGCCTGAGCTGAGAACCTTGGGAAGGCGGTGCTGAACCGGGGCTTTGATGCTGGTGGGAGGTCATCTGCTTTCAGTTGCTTCTGGGATCTCTTTCAAGACCACTGGGTAGAGAGAAAAAGTCTCTTAGAGGGTATTTTTTTCATCTAGAAAGTAGAGAAATCAAATGCATTTTGTTTCTTCAACCCAAAAATAGAGTTTGGTACCTGCTCTTTCTGGGGGAGGTGGGAAGAGCTGGGCATAGGGGAGGACCTTTGCTTCCATCCACAGGGGAGCTGCCACTTTGCCCCAGGATCTTGCTTTGGGAATGCATCTGGTAGGAGTGAATGTTTGCTTCAGGAGGAGCATAACCATGGTGCACATGGGCAGGAATGCTGTCAGATGGGTAAAAAAAGAGCATAAGGTGAGAGCCAGGAGCTGCTGGGTCTGCCAAAGTCTTAGTGGAAAGCAGGCAGCTTCCTGTCTCTCTAGTGAGAAGAAAGAAGGACCTTCTCTGTCCATCCAGCACATCATTAGCCCCTCTCCTCTGGCTGTGCTGGGAGGCAGCACTGGCTCCTGAGGCACCTGGATGCACAAATTTGGGGGGCAGCTTTGGAATGCTGGAGGTCCCCCCTAAGCAGAGACATGTCACAAGGTGCCATCAGCGAAGGAGGAGAAGGAGAAGGGATGGCTGGTCCATGGCCCCTTTTATCCATGGGGAACAGAGGGCACTGGGCTGCTGCAAGGATATTTTTGAGGAGCCAGACCCAATCTCTTTTCTGGGGCCACCTTGGAGGTGGATGGGGAGGTACGGCCCATATCCAAGTGGGGACACGTCAGGATGGCCAGAGGGGCAGCGCCGGTGGCAGACCAGATAAATGAGATGTCAAACCCCTTGAATGAAGCAGTGGTGGGATGGAGGAAATCCTTTGGAAAGTGTGCAGTGAGCCTAAATGCAATGAGATCGTGGCCATGGTCTGTCCCTGGGTGCCTGCCCCCTGCAGTGCACAAACCAGTGCTGCACTGGTGCCTTTGCTGGATGGAGAAAGGAGCAGCAGCCAGCAGCTTCTGCAGGCAAGGACAGACCATGCACCACCACTCTGCCCCAGGATCCAGCTGATGCTGCCTGCAGGGTGAGTGCTGCCTACCCTGGAGCAAGGGATGAGGAACTCCAATCCAAGGTGGCAAAGTGCAGACAAGACAGGTCCTGGGCACACATGGAAAATCAGGTGTTGAGAAGCAAATGTCTGGTGTCAGGCAGGTGGCTGAAAGTCTCTGGGTGGGATTTGCACTAAGGACCAGGAGCTGTCCATGTGAAATCCTGCAGGAATACAGTCTAGCCCCACAAAAAATTGGGAGAAAAGCTTTGAAGCTTTGCTTGTCTCCTCTCTTACTCCCTTTCCCCCCCTGCCCCACTCCCTTCTTTCTATTTTCTTCTGACATCTGTAGCTTTTTTCCTCAGAAAAGATTCCCTGCAAGGACATATTTATTTTTTCCATGGTGAGGAATAAAATCCTCTTACTGCTTAAACTGGCCAACCGTGTCCATCGGCAGAAAAGCTTTCTGCAGCAGTGAGTTGAGCAGGCACTGCCTAAAGGAGTTACACTGGGATAGACTGAAAAGAAGGAATTTTAGCAGCAGCAAAAGCTATTTTGTGCCTGTTGCAGTTGTATCCTTTCCTGGCTGCCCAGACCAGGAGCTGGGCAGGGCTGTCTGGGCAGGGAAAGTGTGGGTAATGCAGGTATAACCATGTTTTATTCATCACCATCTTGACTTCTGTCTGGCCACGCATCCCTGGAACTTGGACAAGTTTTGCTTGGGTTTGTGGCTGGATTTTTGGCTGAGTTTCCCTGTTACATCCCAGGCACGCTGTGCCCCGGACAGTGAAAGGGAAGCAGCCGCTTGCAGTCGCATGGAGTTGAAGAAGATGTCCGGGGAATGAAAGATTGATGGCCCGGGGCTCGGGTTTCCCGCCGGGAGGGCAGGGTGGCCGGGTGTACTGGGAGAGGCATCTGTTTCAGGGAGCATGTATTATTGATCTGGGGGCCACGGGGAAGGGTCAGACCAGCAAAAACCTGCTGTGCCCCAACAAGTGGGCGACAGGCTGGAGGAGGGGGGTGCTGTGGCTGTCACCTCCATCCCTGTCCTGCAGTGCTTCCCCGGGGATTGCGCGGGCGGCTCTGCCGGCATCCCCAGGAGAGAGGGACCCTTGCTGTGGGCACGGTGCCATCAGTGCCTCTGTGCCCCCCCGGTGCCTCTGTGCCCCCTCAGTGCCATCAGTGCCCCTGT